TTCTAAACTCCTCATTAATAAAATAATTTGCAAAATCAAATTTATTATATAAATAAATAATTTGTTAATATTTTATTAATTACTAAAGGTGCTAAATTTACAGTTGTATCATTTTCAGTATCTTTTGCTAAAAAAACAATTTTGGGTATTTTTATATCTTTGTCAGGGATACAAGGATATAGGATTCAATTCGTTTTAATAATATAAACTTATACTAGTATTGCAAAAACAGGCTTTAGGTCCTTAAATTATTTTAAATCATAACCGGAAGAAAATCAGCATAATGTGGCATTTATATTTTATTGTGAAATGAAAATGTGATAAAGTACGCAATCAAATCCAATTTATAATGAAAACATTTTCATGTCTGATATATATATATATATATATATATATATATATATATGTATTTATGTATATATTTCTGACTTAGTCATTTGATATTACTATTAAATTTATATTAATGGTCGCTATTTTCATACTTTATCACAGGTGCTTATAAAGCTGAAGATAAATGCTTCTGATCTACATCACAAGCATTTTATAACGACGTAATAAAATGAAGTAATGTACAGGCTTTATAAAAGGTCAATACTTATTTCGATAGAAACGATATTTCATAGCCTTTTGCTTTCAATAATCGTAAAGAATGGGTCCCTAATATAGTATACTTCATTCTAGTGACCTATAAACGACTGAAATAAAGCATCTATTCAATACATTGTAGCAAAACCTTTCTAATATAATCGAGCTCTTAGGGTTATATTGTTTTTATCTCGAAGATTATATGAAAAGCAACTTTTTGCAGTGTTCAAAGGATATTAACTAGTGGTGCGTGGCATTGTGTCTGAAGGCAAATTGCTGGTACTTCAATTTTTCCAATTAATTACTGGGACTTTATCTCATATTTCTTAATTTTGTCATATTAACATTTTAAAACTAAAATAAATCAGTTTAACTGAAGAAAGTTGAAATTCTTTATTTTAACTATATAAGAAAACTTCTTAAGAAGAATTTCATGAATTTTGGTACCTTGCCATCAGTACGAACCAAATGTTTTTTTGAAACATTCTAATCGGATGCTCCATTATCTCAAAAAATGCTATCTTCTGCATTTTTGCTCCCTGCTTTTGCCTAAAACTAATCAGAATATCTCCCCGAAAGTTTTTCGAATCATTCAAATCGGTTGCTCCGTGCTCCCAAAATCGTGGACGAGATATTGTAACCGAACACACATAGACATACACATAATGATGGATCCCTATGTTTAATCGTTTTTAAACAATATATATAAAAAAAGTAGTTTAAACCAGCAAAGGTTTTTAAATAAATTATAAAATATTAATTTCAATTCTTTCAAAGTCAATTGCCATCTTGTTAAATTCGATCAAATCTGAAAATACCTATGATTTATAATTCGGTAACCAAAAAAATTTAAATATTATTCAAACATGAAAAGTTTGTCGCTCGTGTTTGTCCATTTGGCGCACGCAGCCATTATATTGATTCGAATATTTAGAATACACACAAATTGTTTGTCAACTCGAGGTATTGACTAGTATTGTGCAATAGATTTATTATTTAGATAAATATTTTTCCACGAGCCACTCCATTGTAAACTTGAAGTTGACACACGAAAATTTTGGATGGAATTGGAAAGTGACAAAAAGCGGCTTGCCATTTAAATTGCCGAATGAACATAGGAAAAACGTAATAATTCTCTTTCAATATTAATTTAAATGAAGATACTAATTGGTTTTGATATTAAAAATAATAAAATTTGTAAAGTCTCACATATTTCAAAATATATACAGTAACTGGTTACTATTTATATAGGAATGGAAAAGATTATATTGCATATCTGCAAGTATGTGTATTGCACCCAATATATTTTTTTAAAAATTCCCGAGAACCTAAATAATTTCATATATTACTAGAAGTAATATTTTAAGGGTTTTGAAATTTTCAGAAAATCTTTTATCATACATATAATATTTTCAACGGTTCTCTATTGTTCAAATTATTTTAATGCTTTGGCTTTATTTTAAGGTCTTATAAAATTATTAATATATTCCAATATTATATTGATTAAATTATTATATAAGAATAGTAGAGTATATTTATTTAATGCAAAATATCTAATGTCTGTCTATCCCACATTTGTATTTCCTTGAATTTCTATTACCTTGTGATCTACAAATCAGTTTAAAAAATAACATTCTATTATGACGAATATTTACACGATTAATAATCCTTAACCCGTGAAAAGTGCTAATTGTGATAGTTTGCACTTATTTGACAGATAAAACTGGTTAATACTGCTTCTCTTTAAGACATTTGTATAAAAATTATAAAATTTGAGTTTCATTCATTCGTTGTTTTATTAAACAAATAATAATGAACGCATATCGAACCAAAATGCGTCATTATATGAGCAAACATTTATGAATACTTTATTGGTAAATAGAAAAAATATCGTATGAAGGTTAATTATCACGTGAGAGAAATGGATTAACGATTTTTAGATGATTTATATACTCATAAATAATTGAAATTGTCATTGTAAATGTCTTAATGATACTTAATCAGTAATCAAATCTTTATAATTTTGGCAAAACCAGATAATTTGTTTAAAAATGAATTTAAAATTAGTTTTTTGTAAGATATACGTTGGGGAAACAAATGTAAATATTTTAAATGAAGTTGAAAACTAATATTAAAAATGTCTAAATAAGTAGAGTCTTTTTTTCTGCCTCTACTCTACAATTAATAAATTGCTAGAAATGGCTAAAATACTTCTTTGGGACGACGCCATTTGAATAAAAAAAATATCAGCAATCATAATTTTTGTAGTTCTCAATGGATTCAATAACATCATAATATATTTCAATATTGGGTGATAGATGTGTTCCTTTCTGAACAAATTTTGTGAAAAATAAGAACGTAGACCAAACAAATGTAATTTTCACCATTAATATTCATGGGCAACAACGTGCCTATACACGAACATGGTGCAAATTACAATAGTCATAAATCCGAGGGCCTGATCAAATTTTGCATTATTAATTTCATTGTATATTCTACGCATATGCTAAGTCAATAAAATATTCATGTGCTGGTGTAATAAAAAAAAACGTACAAATGATATGATACGATAACTTACATTTTTCATGAACTTATCTTTCTTCAGTTATCTGTTACTGATTCATATTTCTTAGACAAAATATTTGGTGATTTGTGAAGTAATCACCGAAAAATTGTGATTTTTTATATTAAAAATATAATATAAAATCAGCAAAATATTTGATAATCTGTATCACACTTTATACAATATTATCAAAATTTTGTACGATCATTCTAGTTGGCAAAAAGAATGAATTTCGCATGGGAAATTGTTGGTAGTCTCAGATATAAATCGACGCTATTAACATTTTGAAAAGTTCGAACAAGATATCTTCATTTTAATCAAGATATTTAATAAAACGGTATATAATCGTGTTTTTTTACAAAATTTTCAGGTTTTCTGCATTTTACTCGACTAGGATCAATTAGAAAGTGATAGTATCATAATCAACCGTCGGATATTAAAAAATATCGACACAATTAATTTAAATGTCCGATCGTAATGTCTATATTTTATTGAGAGATTTAAGAAAATGAAGTTATCGATTTGTAACAAAATTTTAAATTTTTATGAATTTTATCGCAGAAAGCACCATGGCATCTATTGCCTATAAGCTAAAGGATGTTATATATATTTATATAATCATAAATGATATAGAAATACTAGTAATATATTAGTCAGGTTTAAAGATCAGGTATTACGTCAAAAAAAAATGTTTTGAAAATTTATTCGAAATTCATACGTTTCGGCTAACCTATCCTAGCCTTCATTCAGTGAAATATACTGTTAACTTTAATAATGTCAACCAAAGGATATGTAACAATTTCAGAATAATAATGATAATAATAATAATAAAGAAATCTTAAAATAATTAAAATTGTTTATCTTTATATTACAATTCATGATGATTTAATTTAAAATCAATGATCCGATACGTATGGATTTCAAAAAACGTCCAAAAACAAATACATATTTATATATAGGTACATGTACATATATATATATATAATATATATAATATATATATATATATGTACATGTACCTATATATAAATATGTATTTGTTTTTGGACGTTTTTTGAAATCCATACGTATCGGATCATTGATTTTAAATTAAATCATCATGAATTGTAATATAAAGATAAACAATTTTAATTATTTTAGGGTGGTCCTTAAAATGGTCATTTTCAAATTTCCTTGCTCCCAGGGGCTCAAATGGTTCCAAATAGATAAAAAACAATTCTCTGAAAGTTTTAGCTCTTAATATTAACGTTTAGATAGAGCGCAATTCAATCAAAGTTTTGTATGGAAATAGCATGGAAAAATTTTCAAAAATTTTAAAAATGCTTTTTAGATGTATTTTCGCGAACAAATTAATGAATAAAACTCATTCATTTGTCGCAAAGTTATACCTAAAACATTTTTTTTTAATTTTCAAAATTTTTTCCTTGCTCTTTCCATACAAACTTTGATTGAATTGCGCTCTATCTAAACGTTAATATTAAGAGCTAAAACTTTCAGACAATTGTTTTTTATCAATTTGGAACCATTTGAGCCCCTGGGAGCAAGGAAATTCGAAAATGACATTTTTAAGGACCACCCTAATATATATATATATATATATATATATATATATATATATATATATATATATATATATATATATATATGTGTGTGTGTATGCGTATTGCACTTTTAATACCATCAGTACTCAGAAATTTTGTTATTTTCCATCACATGTTGATATTTATAAATATTTCTTTCATAACATTTTTTCCATAAATATATATTTAACGAAACACATCGAATGCCATATAATAAATAACATGACCTAAATATTATTCCAAAATCCAAAAAAATGAAAATTTCCACTTACATGTATCCTGCGTGACATCGAACAGCTTAGGCACTAAATATCTATCGGTGGGATCGCCTTTGGCTAAAAACAGGGACCCCCGGTCGGCATGTGTCAGTAACCCGACGTTGACCAATATCTTATGGCAGAGGACATCGATGTCCAACTCGTTCGCTATATCCCGAATTAATTCCATGAATAAATCGCCTTCCTCCAAATGCTGCCAACGCTCTCGGCTTAGACCCGTTGTTGGGAGAGCGGCTAAGGACGTCGACATCGCCGGAAGCTGGGAAAGAAAATAGACTTTTATTGTTGACTAACTAAAGGTATAAAAGATCATGAAATTTGAATGTATTGTTGCTAAGATGAAGGGGGTATATTCTAGTGTAGAGCGATGAATTTTATGTCATTTTTAAAGTGTCGTAAAAGAAAGCAATGAATGTTTTCACTATCCATTTTTTACCACTTGTTTATTAATATTAAAATACAAAACAAAAATTAAAAAATAAAAAAGTTGAAAAAATTGGCACCTCACTCTTGACATGATTTCAGCCCTCCTAGCCATCCGAAATAAAAGAAAAAAAAGGATTATGAATCTACAATGATGTCGCAATCGCCCGAACTAGCGATGAGTAAAAAAATGTTTTTATACAAACTGGCGACTGTTTGAAAAAAAAAGTGTATTTTTACTTTTTTTGAGTCTCTCGAATTTTTTAAAAATAGTAAAAATTGGAATTTGGGGATAATCCTAGTTCGGGCAATAGATAGGTCTATAAACAAAACTCTCTGATCATTTCAAGTGAATCGGTCGAGTAGAACTCGAGAAATCGTGTCAACAGTATTGAAAAAGTCTGTTCTGAGAAAAACGCATTTAAAGTTTTGCGTGAAGCCAAACCAGTATGGAAACCGAGTCAGTAAAATGCCTATATCTCCGAAAATAATTCAAATTTTCAAAAACCTTCTCTTACCCATATTCTTAGATAGTTAAACTCTGAAAATATAAAATAAAAAAAATCGATTTTTTTAATTTCTACACTAGAATACCCCCTTAATCCACAAAACGTTTTTCAATAGCTACAAAATCTCTTGTGTAACAGAATCATTGAAATATAACAATGAAAAAAATACTTATAATCTTGAAAACCTAACTATATTGGCATAAATGCAAAATATATTTTATTAATATGTTGAGAATTTTATACAACTTTTTATGATAATATAAATATAAATTCATATTAGATAATTTCTATATTTACATTTAAATGCTAATTTTAGAATGCATAAAATAAATAATTATATTTTTTAGGATAATTATTGTATGAGACATGAATTATATCAATTATTTATTTAATTATTTTTTAATGAATATATCAAATATTTAGTTTTCATAGTATCCTTTTAACATCCCATTACTATTTTAATGATTAAAATTTCCAAAATTTCATTACTTTTTAAATTATAATCCTGCAGTATTATCCCCAGGATTTTATAATTAATGGTTGAACAACACTCATTACATGAATTCCAATAAATTGTAGATGCCCATTAGGCAGAATAATATATAGACAGCTCGATAATGACATTCTGATAATACAAATATAATTATGATTTAAATTTAATGATTAATTAATGTCCCTATAGAATTACTGACATTTGATCGAATTCCAAACAAATATTCAATTTCCGGGATTCCACATAAATCAAATATCCAAATAAATCAAATGTTATGAATAAATAACACAGTTTCTGTGGGCATAAGCTACGTGTTTATTTTGACAAGGGACTGTAGTATATTGTATATTAGCATAAATCAATTCTATTCGAATGGTCGGTCTTCGATAAACCTATTTTCGATGACCTATTTCATAACTTTTAGCAGTTAGTGAAGTTCAACTGCCACACGTTTCTCTTTTTATATGCAGGAAGCTTTTAACGTGATATGGTTCCCCGGCGCAAATAACTTCATATCACGAAGTCTAAAATTCTCTGAAACAATGTAAAGTTATGTCGGAAGTTTCGTAGTTCCTCCTAAACACTTTTTGACGAATAAGCTCGATAAGTTTTGCTGAGATAAAAGAATAAGATTAAAAATAGCAATTTTTTTAGTATTATTGGTATGATTTTAAATTCATTACATATCAACAAAGCATATAATAATTGTTCCAAGTTCTGGCACAAATTATTTAAATTTCCTCTACTAATTTATCTAGATATCCCATGGTAAACCTTTGATGAGAATTGTTATCCGATCACTCGATCAGTCATTCTCCCTTGACCACAAATCCAAACCCATCTCTACACTTTCCGCAACCCACTGAATTGGACATCGAATTTGATTACGAATCTCTGCCCTGTGGCCCTTATTGCAACACTGACGATGACAATCAGTAGTTTCTGCAAACTACTACAGAGAAACACCAATTGAAAACTGATATCTGCTTTGATATCATTCAAATTATTTGAATTTGTCTCGTTAACGTCAATATTACCAATTAAAATGTGATGACGGAATTTAATTATTGGAAATAATGAATAAATAATTGGATGATTATTGAAAATAAATATGTTGAACATACAATTTGAATTATATTTGAAAAATATCAAAGAGTAGGATGGGGCACAAAGACTCAATTTGACTTGCAGTAATTACAAGTCATATAGTATCTAAACCTATTTTTCTATTTTTCTGAAATTTGTTTGTGTTGAATATTTATTAATATTATAGAGTAGGAAGGGGCACAAAGGTCCAGTTCGACTTTCAGTAATTACGAGACGCATAGTGTCTACTCCAAATGAACTATATCACAACAAATACACGTTTCAAACAAACAACTATCGAACTATGTTGAGTAAAATTGCTAATTATGGAAATGTGTTTTGGCTATTTTCCTAAAGTTTGTCACCTGTTTCTTTTTACCCCATCAACTGGGTAAAAAAGCACATGTATCGGCAAACAGATGAAATTTCACGAAATAGCAAAATTCATCAATGCGAAACAAAAATTTCAAGAGCACTTTTGTTACAAAGATTACACTGTATATAACCTTGATCTGGTATTTAGTGAGAAATATTCATCAGCAGAGATGAAAAACTATTAATTTAATTTATCCTCATACTTTTATTTATTGTTATTTTAACTAAGCCTACATCTTTATTTACTATATTCTTAGTGTTTACATATTTGCCATGTTTAGTTTGTCCTTTTCCTTACACATGTAATAAGCTTTTATGGAGATAATATAAAAAAAACTGTTGAATCTAACTTAGATATAACAGTACATTTTATAAACCAATTAAACAACGTATAATTAAAAATTATATTCAGTTATAATTATATTCAGTCACATGGGTCTGACGCTAGAAAGTTGTGACATACACAATAGAAGGAAAAAAAAAGTTTTACGTAGAGTCATGTCAGTCATATTTGTGTGAAATTTTTTCAAGAAACTTTCCAAAAAAAATTTCTTTTGTACATTAAATTTTCACGATACATTTTCATAATATTACCTAATAAAGTTACCATGGCCCTTTAACGTGGCGTTTAACGTGTTAAGTTAGTTTTATTATTCATATTCTTTAACAAATAAACATTCATATAGGATACAAAGTACAATTTATCATTTTCAATTCTGATTATTGTAATTCCAACAAGTTTGAGAAATCCATTTAATATATACGTCAGAAAATACATGGGTAAACATTCAATATAAACGTCAAATATAAAGCGTGATGCTATTTGGGCGCTTTTGATATCATACAATATATCACATGTGTTTGCGAAAGTTTCGTGGAAGCGTTAGTTGTGCCTGGACACGTTTTCTATTGGAATTCAATCTTATCGTCGTAAATGTGGGAATTCGTAAATAGAAGTATCATAAGTAATTCAATTGTCTATAATTCGCATAGAGCTAATTTACTATATAGATAATTGTTATCTTAATAACAACTTTGCTGTCGAATTGTTGGTGAACGCTAAATGTTACACCACCATTATCTCAAAAAATTCAAGTATAGAATTTTTTAACGATAATATTTTAAAGTAGAAGGCAATCGATGTGTCACAACTTTCTAGCGTCAGACTCATGTGACTGACATGACGCATAACGTGTTAATATATAATTGAAAACATTAGTATTATATTTGAACAAATTAAGACTTGTGAAAAACAAGTCCAGGCTTATGAGAAACCATTATCATAAAATATTTAAAATAATTTATAATTATAATAATTTAGTGATATTTAAGATTTAGTTGTTCCGTTAGTCATGTGAAGATCTATTTTTATTTAAAATATCACGCTCAAAAATAAAATCGAAATTAGTTCATTTATTTGCATACCTACAGCCCGAGCTTTAGTTTTTATCGTCTTCATTTTTGTGCATTATTTATTTTTATTTTCATTTTCATATTGTAATGTAATTTATCAGGTAATTGACCTAAAGACTTTCTAAATAAAGAAAAGATTCATGGCAATTTATAGCAGTCCTCCCATCATTGATTCACCTATAGGTCTAAATAACAAATCCCTCCCTTGAATTAATTCGTTAAATAATACAAAATCATTAAATAGACATTTGATTCCAATGTATCGAACAACAACAACCGCCGGCTAATGACATCGCATTAAAGAAATACAGTCCAATTTATTCGATTTGGCGCGCGGCTAATACATGTGATTATACGATCTCTGGCTTTCTACCTTTCTGCCTTTCTAGCTTTTCCAGTTCATATACAACTGCGAAATGGAGGATATACTGTCTTCTGTTTATTTCGTTAGCGACGGCGGTTTGTTCGAATCAATCAATAGAATAATAGACAAGGAGTTGAGAAATCTACTAAAAGTTTATAAGATTTAGACAATTTCCCTCCAATATACAGAAGTGTTTGTCATCAATAAAACGAGTTAAAAGTTTGCATTACAAACTGAAGTTGATCCAAATAAGGACAATTTGGAAACCCCGAAAGTACAGATTTTCCGAGAAACCGGTTTTGACCGAACAAAAAAATTTTGGCAAGTGATAAAGCAGGTACTGACTCAAATTAAATTTTATGGATAATACATTTTTTATGCAAGAACAAAAAAAGTATTAACAAGATTTAAATAAAAGCAATTAATTATTCATTGTTCATGTATAATTTTACATATAAGTGTGTAAACATGTTTATAATAGGGATGCGATACGAAGAACGATTATTTATTTGCAACAACTATTGTATCGAAAAATTCAGAAAAAAGAAGTGATTAAAAACAGTTTTTCGCTGAAATTCACTTTTATGGATAATGAA